ACGACGAAGGTGCTGGTGAAGCCGCCAGCTTCCCCCGTGCCCAGACTGTCCTAGTCCCAAGCCGCCTTCTCGTCGAACATGATGTCACGCGAGATAGCTACCTTGCCTCCGCGTGGGTCGTAGAGCTGGTACGCCTTGGTGCCCTCCTCGTAGCCCAGGAGCACCATCGGTGTGCTCCTGTCCTCTAGCTTGGTGAGGACCAGCTTTGTTTTCCTAACGTGGCTGATGCAGTCGAATGTTTGGAGGAAGGACACGCTCAGCTTGCGCCCATACCAAGCTTCGAACAGCGTCACACCCTTCAGGGCCTTTGTGGGCGCGTGGTTGAGGATGAACACCGTCATGGTCACCGCCTCTCCCCAGAACTTTGCTGGCATGCTTTTGGCCTTCATCATGGATCGAGCCATGCCGACAACCGTCTGGTTTCGCCGCTCCACCACGCCATTCTGCTGTGGCGAGTACGGTGCGGTGTGGTGTCGTACCACACCCTGATCCATGCAGTACACAGCGAACTCCACCGAAGTGAATTCGTCGCTGCGATCAGCCCGCAGCACGCGCTGTTTCTTGCCGCTCTTCGCCTCCGCGCGCGCCTTGAACTTCTTGATCGCCTCCGCCGCCTCGTCCTTGCTCGTTAGGAGTTGCAGCCACATATAGCGACTGAAATTATCCATGAGCAAAGGAAGTACTGCCGACCACCGTTTGTGGCTGGCGTGATTGGTCTGTAGAGATCGCCGTGGACGAGCTCGAGAGGGTCTCTATCGAGAGAGTGATTTGGATGTACTTCACCGGCACGGAGTGGAGGTATTTGGAGACCACCTCTTCTTCATTGATGGTGACGCCGTGGCTCCTCAGCTTGTTGATGAGCGACTGCGGGCGGAGGGAGAAGTCCTCCATCGACTCACCATCCTTGAACTTGAGGTTGGCGTACTCCTGCTTCAATAGCTGAGCCGTCACCTCCTTTGCGTAGTCGGAGCCGACGTGCACCACTGCAATGCCTCCCACGCCTCCTTAGCAGAGTTCTTCGCCTCCAACGGCTCCCTGTACTCCGCTGGCACAGCAGCGAGGATAGCTTCCAACGTTGACATGTCGTCTTCTTTGTTGTCGGTGCCCTTGTCAATGGTATTCCAGAGCCGTCGGGCTCTGAGCTTGACCTTCATGGTCACCGTCCACTCATCATAGTTGGTGCGAGTCAGCGTCGGCCAACTGGTGCCGCTGACCTCCTGCACCATACGCACGACGACCTCCTGTCGTGGCTGGGCAGCCACAGCAACGTCGCTACTGTCGCCCATCTCCAAACCGTCCGTCATCGCCAGTGGTTAGTCCGACGACGGCGCTTGTACGGCTCTGATACCACTGTTGGTCCCGAGATCTCCCGCACGGGTGAGCCGACCGGTCATCGACGTTCTCGCGCACACACTACGACTGGAGGTAGAAGAGGAAGGGAGAACATAGAGCACACACACAACACAAGCACCAGCGTTGACCGGAGCTCTGCAGAGGAGATGGCAAAACTGAACTCTCTCACTTCACTGAGTTGCAGTGGGAAGCTATATATACAACTCTACCAATTTAATCCTAGTACACAGACATGTCAGACTGCCATACTGCTACAGTGACTAGATGTGACAACAGGACTGACTTTGGTCTCTGTCCCTGTTGTGGCTACAGTGCGGCAGAGGAGCTTTTCAATGTCTGCTTCTGTCGCAACTACAGTACAACAGCAGGAGAGCCCTTTCGACATCTGTCCCTACCATACATACAGAGGGAGAGCATCAGATTACTTTATAGAGCTCAGAACATGCAGTGTTGCAAGGAGAAGTAATGTGGGGGTTTTGATTAGATTTCTCTAGGGCCATATATGTCTGTTTGACACTTGCTGTGTTTGGTGCTATGATATCACGATGTGCTGCCATACTGACCTGTTTGATACTGTACTTGCTAAGAGGCGTGCCAAATGGGTCATGGGGACCACAAGTAAACTGGGTCCAATTTGTCAGTTCCAGATCTTCCACTGATTGTGCAATAGATATCAAATGTTATTTCAGACCACAGCACATTGTTTCTGAGCGCACAGATTAGGCCTGTTCAACGGCCCAAAAAAGTTGTTCGACAACTCAATACCACTTCTTCAATTTGTGGTCTGGTGGATCAGGCCTTGTTTAAATTTTAAGTTTTTTCACTCTCTCTCCATTACATCAAATCTTTAGACATATATATAGAGTATTAAATATAGATAAAAAAAATAACTAATTACACAGTTTGATTGTAAATTACGAGACGAATCTTTTAAGCATAGTTAGGCCATAATTGGACAATAATTGTCAAATACAAACGAAAATACTACAGTGCCAAATTCTGATTTCTAACACTCATCTAAACAAGGCCTCAGAAGCATATCATGTGAACTCCATTTGATTGCCCGGTCCGTTCCTACAGTTCACAACAAGGACCTACAAGATTGCAGATTCTAGTTGTGTGCGGTGACTTGTTTCAAGCCTGAAAAAAACTGCTCTGAAATGGACCGATACTGATGTATCTAATGGCGCAACTGCTAGCTGAACGAGCGTGTCTCTCACACTTCATGCTGGCAACTTGGCACCCACTAGGCACTAGCATGTGGTCCTTGTGCCGCTTCCGAGCGACACCACTCAGACATGGGTGGTGTCCAATGATCCAACCCATGTACCGAATGCACGCCACGACCTGCTCCCGTCGGCCTATCAGAATCTCATCCAAATCGTACTTGCAGACGCATCTTGCAACATTGCACTCACCATTCCACATGGCATTGTCCCTTGCCCAACCATCCCACTCGAGTTCAAGTGAGCTATATATTCAGGACAAGTAGCCTCAGAACGCCATCACAATCTCAACTCAGAGCTCTCCACATCTCCAGTTTCCAGCCAAGAAAGAAAGAAGTAACCATGATCAGCACCAAAAGGATCCCTCAGCTGGCCAAGAAGTGGCAGAGGATGGCAGCGCTTGGGAGGAAGCGCCTCACGGCAGCAGCAAGGAAGTCGACAAGTGCTGCACTTCCGTGGCAAGCAAGGGCCACTGCGCAGTGTACACGGCTGACGGGGCACGGTTTGAGGTGCCCTTGGCGTGCCTCGGGACAACAGTCTTCACGGAGCTCCTGCAGATGTCCAAGGAGGAGTTCGGCTTCACGGGTGGCAATGGCAAGATCACACTGCCCTGTGATGCCATGGTCATGGAGTATGCCTTGTGCTTGCTGAAGAGGGGCGCCTCTGCGGAGCTGGAGAAGGCATTCCTAAGCACCATGGCAATGTCGTGCCACTCTGCAAACCACGTGGCACCGTATGTGGCAGCCTGCTGTTAGTTGCACCTGTATAAGTAGTAGTTCATCACTTTAGATGGTAGGACAAAGAGAGGTGTTATTCAGATCCTTCTGATCCTGCAAACGATCAAGGAAGGTAGCGACTTAGCAAGTTAGGACCAGTGTTCTTGTTCACTGAGCGCATGTTGCACAAATACATGACTGATCACAATTTCAGGACAATATAATTCTGGCAACAAAAGCTCAAAACTTACTGTTTTTCCGATTTATTTTGCTGCAACTGATGCCTTGTAAGGTAAACACCCAGACAACAGATCCAGTCTTGCATGGAAATTTACAGCCACATTCTGGAATTTCCAGCAAAAAAATGGTTGTAGGCCCATTGGAAAATGCCCCCATATACCATGAAATGGTTGTCACAAACCATGCTAGAAATCGTGCAGCCATTGATGCAAACTCAGATATGGAACTGTCTACTGAGTTGCATGATTAGCAGCAATCAAAGCACAGGTCACCCAACACCTTGCATGCTACTGCAACAGTATAAGACTGTAAGAGTGTGTACCCAAAAACAGTGAAGTGAACCCTGCATCTGCTCAACTCTTGAATCTTGGATCATCCAGCCTTGTCCTCAATGATATATGAGGCATTGATGCTATCTAATCATGTTCATGCAGTGTTTCAGATTTTTCAGAGAAAAATATATGGTCCCAAATCGTTCAGAAATGATTATTTCAAAAGCTCAACCATCTAGTCTCCAAACCACTTGAGACAGGGCAGTGGAACAGATGGAAGACCTCCATAAAAGCTGGGTCCAGTATGGTAGAATTACATCTCAACCAATTTCAGCAGTGCTACAGTAGTACATATCTGACTGGCCAAACACTAGTCCACTATCTTTGCCTTGATGTTGCACCAAAAATTGGTCCAGAATAATAAAATCTGAAGCGTGCGGGCGGGCGGCCAGAAGTTCTATAATGAAGTGGCTCATCCTTATTCTGTGTTTGCGGTGTTGGTTATTCATGTAACAAAACAATGTAAAACGTGTGTTTGCTCCCTTCTTATATGATATGGCAGGCTCCTGCCAATGTTTCAAAAAAAAATCTGAATCTTGATGCCTACTTTGCAGTCATCAATGCATGTACCAAGCTCACGGTCTTGTAACCTGCCAATTAGTCTCAGCCATGGAACATTTCTTCACCTACATATTCAGGAGCAAGCAAGTAAGATACCATCACTGCAATCGCAAAGTCATAAACAAAGAATTTCTAAGCACCATACCTGAGAAACAAGAAGAACCAACTATCCTTCCCAGGAGGCTTGCCCACTTGGCGAGGAAATGGAAAAGGACTAAGACAGACACCAGAGACGACAATACAAGTTGCACCACTTCACGAATTACAGACAAGGGCCACTTAACCGTGCATACAGCCATTGGGAGGAGTTTTGACTTTTGAGGTCCCACTGGGATACTTTGGCACAATTATCTTTAGTGGGCTGCTCAGGATATCCCAGGAGGAGCTTTGGTTCACAAATCACAAGGGACGGTACTGATTTGCTAAGATTATTGAGATGGTAACATCTTTCTTACCATTTTATTTGATTCTAACAAGTAACAACCTTACATCCGGTTGAACAGAACTGTACTATACATTACTACATACATCAAGAGACACTGAGACAGGAGCTAATAAAATGACCTATTGAACTATACACATACGGCTAGCTGCTGCTTGAGCTCCATCCATGGCGCCACGCCACTGACACTGACAGTGTGGCAAGGCCTGACCATGGAGCTCAAGAGCGCCCTCACAACCTCCTCAGAAGCGTCTCTTCTAACCAAACACATGGCGTACTCCATCACGGCGGCATCACAGGGCAGCGTGATCCTGCCACCATCGCTCGCGAACCCAAACTCCTCCTGCGACATGCGCAGGAGCTCACCGAGGACCGCCGTGCCGAGGTACGCCAGCGGCACCTCGAACTGCCATCTGTCAGCGGAGTACATGACGCAGTGGCCCTTGCTGGCCATTGCCGTCGACGACGTTCCAAAGGATGCTTCGGTTTCTTTCGCCGGCATCGAGGTAAGCCGCTTCCTCGGCAAGGCGGACATTCTCTGCCACTTCTTTGCCATCTGAAAAAGCCTCTTGGCACTGATCATGGTTGCTTCTCCTTCTTTTCCTGGCTGAATCTGAATGTTCAGAGAACCTCTGTATCAGAGGGTATTGTGCTGCTAGATGTATTGCTTAGGTTGCTGATGGACTGGTGGAATGTTAGTGCGCAGGTGGTGGATTTATATGTGAGGGGGAAAGAAGAGACAAGGCCACGAGCCCAGAACATGCAATGCTGCAAGGGGAAGCAGTGTGTGGTTCTGATTATATTTCTCTGGGGCCAACTGTTGGCACTTGTCGGAGCCAACTATAGAAATGTAGTAGTGTCTGGGTCGTTACAATATAATATGATGCCATACTGCTATGCCTCATGGGCCATGAGGACCACATGTAAATTGGTTCAATTTGTCAGTTGTGCAATGAGATACAGATTGTTATTTGTAAGACATCTGGAAGTTTTTGTGCCCACGGCTCATTGTTTCTGAATGACTGGATAAGCCTGTCCAGCGGTCCCAACAACTTGCTCGACAAATTCACATCATCTTAGATCACTTTGTGGTCTGCTGGATCAATAGCACATCATGTGAACTCCATTTCGCAGCTGCTTCTTGCAGTTCCCTGCATGGACCTACAAGATCGCAGCTAGGCAACTAGCTAGATCCAGTTTTATTTGCATTGTTCAAGCACATGCCATTGCCGTCTGACAAAAGCATGCGGTCCATGCTTCCCTGTCTTCGTTTTGTTGAAACTTCAAACCCAAGCTGATCTGCTGATGATCTGACGGCACAGCAGCAGCAGCTGAACAAACCTGGCCCTCATACTCCACGTTAGCCCCAACAAACATGGGGTCCTCGTGCCACTTCCCAGCGACACCGCTCCGCATGGTGCGCCAGCACGGATTCTGTGCAGTCCAAGCACCAAAAGCACACCACGAGCATTCAGCACCAAACCCTCGGCCCTCGTCAGTCTCATCCAAATCGTACTCGCAGACGCATCTTGCAACATCGCACTCAACGTCCTCATGGTCTTGTCCCTTGCCCAACCATTCCGCTCGAGTTCGGGTGTGCTATATATTCAGGTCAAGTGGCCTCAGAACACCATCACAATCTCAATTCGGAGATCTCCACTTCTCCAGTTTCCAGCCAAGAAAGAAACAAGTAACCATGATCAGCACCAAGAGGATCGCTCAGCTGGCCAAGAAGTGGCAGAGGATGGCAGCGCTTGGGAGGAAGCGCCTCACCAGCTGGCGGACAGCAGCAAAGGAAGTCGACAAGTACCGCACTTCCGTGGCGAGCAAGGGCCATTGTGCAGTGTACACGACTGATGGGGAACGGTTTGAGGTGCCGTTGGCGTGCCTCGGGACGACAGTCTTCGCCGAGCTCCTGCAGATGTCCAAGGAGGAGTTCGGCTTCACGGGTGGCGACGGCAGGATCACACTGCCCTGTGATGCCATGGTCATGGAGTACACCCTGTGCTTGCTAAGGAGGGGCGCCTCTGCAGAGCTGGAGAAGGCATTCCTGAGCACCATGGCAATGTCGTGCCACGCTGCAAACCACGTGGCGCCGTATGTGGCAGCTTGCTGTTAGTTGCAGCTATATAAGTAGTGGTTCATCCCTGTAGATAGTAGGACAAAGAGAGGTGTTATTAGATCCTCCTGATCCTGCAAACGATCAAGGAAGGTAGTCAATTAGCAAGTTAGCACCAGTGTTCTTGTTCACTGAGCAGTGAGCACATAAGAGAAATTCTTCAGCACAATTTTCTGAATCCAAACCTGAAAGGTTACTGCCACTCCATGCTCCAGCTGAACCACAATGTGCCATCGTGCCTCTTTCATTCCAGTTGGCAACTTGCTGCAATATTCAGAGTTTTACTATCAGTTTTGTTGGTAGAATGTAAAGGCCATGCTTTCTGGTCAGAGTCGAAAGTTCTATCTAAGAAACATACCTAATGAAGGCCACATGCAAATCGTGTGGTCCATTTTCAAGTGATTTTATCACCCACTTCGGGTTGAAGGTGTATGGTTTGCATACAAATCTAGAGGGAGATGAATCCTTCAATTTGCATTGTTGTAGTGATCTTTCCTCTCAAGGCTCTGATCCATGAGTCATTTTCTAACTCTTGATGTACCGTTCTATTCTTCCTTCTGGCAAGTTGGAATAAGTGAGGTGCAAGGTTCCTCGGGGCCTCACCTTCGAGTCAGCTGCGGTGCCAAAATTTAGCTTTGTTTCCATTGCCGATGGAGACTGTGGTGGAGTTGTTAAACAGGGAACGATCCACTTCATTACAGGGGGCCTCAAAGCTGGCCCAGGGTTTTTCTTCTGCCATCCATTCTTGCCAAAGCCAACATAGCCGGAAGTAATCTTTTCCAAATGGGCCGCCCGGCACGGCACGGCACGGCACGGGCACGGCATCGGCACGGCGAGGCACGGCACTATGCGGCACGGCGGCCCTCCGTGCCGTGCCTGTAGTGCCACCGTGCCTAAATGGCAGCCCAGGCACGGCACTATGGAGGGGAAACCGTGCCGTGTCGTGCCAGCAGGCACGGTGGCACGCCAGTGCCCGTGCCGGCTCAGGCACTAACACATTTTTAACCCAAGTTCATCAGCACAAGTCGTCGTCTTCTCCAGGGAGCTCGCGCAACCTCTCGGACTCCTCATGGTACGCAGACAAGGCAGCCTCGACTGTCTCTTCAGAGGGGGGCCGGGGAGGCATCGCCACTGGCCTCAAACGGCTGCACAAGTGCACATGAGCAAGAAGAAGTAGATCATTAGATCAAGATTCAAGAACAAGAAGAAGAAGACGGTCAAGATCAAGAACTAAAGAAAGAACAAGAAGAAGAAGACGGTCAAGATCAAGAACTAAAGAAAGAACAAGAAGAAGAAGATGAGTGCTCTTACCTGCATCTTCGGAGCCCTGGAGCTGCCGTAGGGCGAGAAGAAGAGGTGGGGACGGCGGCGGGTCGCCGTCGCCCGTCGGAGTCATCCCGCGCCGTCGGAATCGGAGAGGAGCGCCAGAGAGAGCGAGAGGAGAGCGCGGCGGGGGAGGGCGAGAATGATTTAGGGTTTGGGGTGCGAGGGGGAGCCGGCCGACGACGCTGCTTATATACACCCCCACCCCAACGGCGGAATCCAACGGCTAGAATCGCAGGGGTCGGGGAATCCAACGGCCATGATGGCTCAAAGCCGTGCCGATGCCGGGCCAGGCCTTTTTTCGTGCCGTGCCTCGTGCTGGCCCATGGGCCGAATGTGCGGCCCAGGCACGGGCACGATGCCTAGCGGGCCGGGCCGGGCTAGTGCCGTGCTTTTTAGGGCCGTGCCCGTGTCGGCCCATCGGGCCTGGCCCATTTGAAAAACTATAGCGGGAAGGCTCTGCTAAATTTATCAAGGTCTATCATACCAAGGTCACCTATATCCTTGGGCATGCAGAGTTGTAGACAATTGGCCAGTTAAGTAGAGACGAATCTTGTCAATTTGCTTTCTTGCCAAACAGCGAGTGGGAAGACCGTCATGGAACAGTGTTTTTCTCTCACAACAAATCAATATCAGCCGGCTGATATCAGCCGCAGAAACTATCAGCCAAACAGCTCAGATGGTGGACCGATGTGACAAGAGTGTGATGTCCCACTCGGTTTAGAGGTCTTCCTTTCCACCCTGGGAGTCGATGGCTAATTTTTTCGATGAGTGGTTGCACATGAACTTTTTGAAGGGCATGGGTAGGCAGCTGAAGGCCAAGATAGCGGATGGGAAATCTTTGCGGGCTCCCTGGAAAGGTTCAAGTATGTGCTGTAAGTCTAGATCTTCACACCTGATCGGATGGGCGGAGCTTTTGTTGAAGTTTGTGACTAGGCCGGTCACTGCCCCAAAGGTCTCCATCGCCACCAGAGTTTGACTGAATCCATAAAACAGTGGTTGCAGAAAAACTGAACATAAAATTGGCCACATGCTGACACTTGCATAGCTGCTGGTCCAGCAAGGAAAAAGGCAGGACGACTCTATGGACTGACCACAGTATTGAAACTAGAATAATGAACAGAATATAAGGTAGTGACTAAGAAAGCTGTTATTCCACCAGAAGCAAATGAGTGTCCTAAAAAGGACATCAGATTTATGTGGGGCTCCCCAGGCCAATGAAAAGTGAGCCAAACAAACAGAATTTTGCCTTCCCGAGTCTTTACATCAATATATGTTGGGTTTACCTGAAATAAAATAACGAAGAGTGTTCTTATATCAGTTGAGGTGGTAGATATAGAAAGGGAGTGGGGAGGCATAAATCTTGGACCTTTTAGCTTGGATATTTATTATTATAACTTAGTTTTCAACAAATCTTACGAAACAAAACTACAAAAGTATTCAAACAAATTCACCTGTCCATGTAGGAAATTTCAATTAGTTCTTGATAAAAATAAAATAAAATAAAATAAAATAAAATGCGTCTTCAATTTGAGTGCCAATCAAACCCGTTACAAGTGTAGAACCAAGCAGCAGGAAACTGTGTACCATAATGGAAGGATGAGACTGACGCAAATGTAAATTGACTGAGCAAAGAAGACTAATAGAGTGGACCCAAAGAGTGTTGGGCTCAGGATCTCCCGCACGGATGAGCCGATCGCTCATCGACGTTCTTTCTCGCACATACACTACGGCTGGAGATAGAAGAGGTAGTGTGGGGTATGGCCCCCGATATTCACAAAACAGGACATGGACCGCACCATCAGAGGTGGCCCAGCCCACAAGATCAAGACGTGCACGGCGCTGCTAGGCGTGCACCGCGAGCTATTGTATAGTACCAAATAGAATATTTTCTTTGTAATCCTATCCCTCCAGAATATATAAAAAGAGGCAGAGGTCCCCTACTCTACATCTCAATGCAATACATCAGAACACAGGATGTAGGTATTACGTCATACTGACGGCCGAACATGTCTAAATCTTATGTCTTGGTGCTTGTATTACCATCTCGCTCCTGATCTTGCTCACCTCTACGACAAATCTACCATCGTAGGATACCCCTAAGTGGACTGCCGAGCATCTTTTGTCGACAGGTAGATAGA